ATTCTGATATAGTATTATAAATTATAATATTGATACTTTTAGATTATGAACGAAGTAATAAATAAATTTATTTTACAATGATGTGTGTTCTTTTCTTTTATTTGTCTACACGATAACTTATTGAAATAATGCTTAAATTTTCAACTCCAAGGGTGGTTTCTGGTAAAAAATTAATCGCTTGGTGTATAAAAAAAAGGTTATTTCAAGGAAAATCTCTAGTAGTTTTACTAGAAAATGTAAATAGAGGTCTAACAATAATTAAAGAATTATACAAATATATAGGCACATATTTTTTAGATTCTGAACGGAGTGATGAATGTATTGATTTTACAATGATGTGTTTTTTTTTTTTTTTTGTGTCTGTGTACAGCATAACTAGTTGAAATAATGCTTCAATTTCAAACTTTGGGGATGGTTTCCGATGGCAAAGTGGATATCCTTGGTGCATTATACAGGTGAAAAGTAAACATTCTCCAACAGTTTTCAAAAAAATCGAGAAAAACAAAAAAAAAATGACAGAAAAACGGGAATTTTTACGCAAAACCGTTTTCGACAAAATCGAATTTTTTATTTTGCTTTAACTCAAAAACTAATCGATGTAAATACTTCAAATTTTCACCAAATGTTTATGTTAGAGTTCTCCATACACAGTTAAATTTTCAAAGAATTTTGACTTTTTTTGAACTATTTATAGACAATTGAAATTTTTAATTTTTCTAAGTATTTTTTTTTTAAATAACGATAAAAATTTTTTGGCCGACCAGAAAATCTTGAAAATTTAATACAAGGTTTCTTATAAGTTGTTCTTAAAGTGATAAAAAAAAATCCGAAATCGTTAGTCACAATTTTTTTTTATTCGTGCTTAAAGTTCGAATTTATACGAAATATGTCAAAATTGCGAAAATTTGCAAGTAATTTTGTGGTTGAAAAATCGTAAAAATTTTTTCTTTTATAACTAAGATTCGAAAATTTGGTACAAGGTTCTCCATAAATTTTTCTTCAACTATCTGCAAAAAAAACTCTACCGGATTTAGACAAAAAAATTTTATGAGTGTTTGAAATTTAAATTTTTACAAAACCGCGTTAAATAACGGTTTAGCCTAAAACGAATTTTTATATTTGTTGTTTTTCAAATAGTATAAGTCATAAATACTTGAAAATTTTACCAGTTATTAAGATCGCCATTTTCTTTATACGTGATTTGATTTTCAAAATATTTTGACTTTTTTTGAGCTATTTATAGGCATTTGAAATAATCAATTTATTTTTATCATCTTCGTTCAGAATCGTTTTTCGTATACAATGATACCTATCATTACATTCAAATTTAACCTACCCTAGTCCGAGGTCCACCCCACCCCCTAATGTACAGCAGAGCGATACTCACTTACCCGCTTTTTTTTAATTTACATTTGCCATTTGGAGTTCAAATATTGACAAATTCACGAAAATTCGCAAAATATTTTGCTGTTAAAATGTAGAAAAAATTATATATTTATAGCTAAGAATTGAAAACAAGGTTACCCTAAGTTTTGTTTACAGTATTTATAAAAAAAAAAGTCAAGCATTATTACATTAAACAATTTTCACGCGCGTCTAAATTTTTAGTTTTCACCAAATTAAAAATTCATGAGTAATTTAACGATATTTATTATATTGAATGATTTTAGATTTTTACTAGTTATGGAATATAGTTATAAGTATTTTTATAAAAATCATAAAAGTTACCGTATTAATAAATAATAATAAAAAATTAATTAGTAACAATGTAATAGATATGAAATAAAATATCTTAGGGTGATACACTGTCTTCGTTTTGATTCGTTTTTTATCGTATAAATTGATTTAATCAAAATATATATTTTTATTTATAAAAATACAACTATATTAGTTTATTTTTATTAATATTATATGGCGGTTTTGCTACAGTGATGTTCACATTAGTTCACCACAAATAGCGAGTTATGCGGAATTAACAGCAGATGAAACAAGTACACCAAAGTTGGAATTAAAAGTACAAAACCAACCTGAAGAACCCGAATCAACTATAAAAACTACGGATAATAAAATAAATTCACATTTCGAGTAAAATTTATATAAAATTATATTATACATATACTTCAAACTTTTTTAAATGAGGCGTAATGCACACAATATTTCCATTATGTATAGGTGTACTAAAATCCAGGGCGACTTTATTGACTCTCATGAACTAACTGTCATCCCAGAGGTAGAAAAAAGTCTCATGTAAGTATTTTGTTACCACTTAATATGTTTTATTAATTAAAATTTAAATGCATATAATAATATGTTATACAATAATATAAAATGTAGATATAGGGACAATTTAAGTAGGTATTTAAATTCTTAAATAAAATATCTATATATTTATCTATATAGCGAAAGACCAGGTGAAATAAGTGGGTGTAGAATTGTAGACATCGGATATGTTTTTAGTCAAATACTTGATTGTACTCATGAAGGAATGTTTGGATGTAATTTTATGAACATGGAATATGTATCAGAATTTAGAAAAGGTTACTATTCACAATTTGTATTTAAATGCAAAATGTGCAATATTCAAAAAAAAATTTATTCATCAAAATTTGATGAAACTTCTCAAAATCAATGGTCAACAAATAAAGCTATTGTAAATAGCACTATTGCAATTGGTAATTAAAATATTAATTTAAATTGCATAAATCTGCTAATAACTGTCGTTAATTAAATAATAATTTATTTTAGGAATTGGCTATACGCAACTAGCAGAATTTTCTGCTGGTTTAGAAATACCATACATGTCTGCAAAAATGTATCATTCGTTTCAGTCAATTCTCCAAGATGAAATAAAAGGCACAGCTTGGTCAGAAATGAAATCGGCAGGAGATGAAGAAAGAAAATATGCGATAGAATCTGGTTCGGTTGATGATAATGGTATACCACTTATTACAGTTGTTGCTGACGCTCAATGGTCTAAGAGGAGTTATAGAACAAAATATGACGCTTTCTCTGGAGTAGTAAGTGTTTTTTACAATTTAAAAATGCACATGCAAATTCAATTAATAGAAAAAAATCTATCTACTATTAACTGTTTAATTTTTACGTGACTGTAGGCAAGTATTATAGGATACAAAACCAAAAAAATACTTTTTGTCGGAATCAGAAATCGATATTGCGTAATTTGTGAACGTGCATCTAATAAAAATATTGAAAAACCGATACACGCATGCTTCCTAAATTGGAAACACGGTGCTACGAGCATTGAAGCGGACGGAGTAGCCGAAGGTTTTACTAAGAGTTTCGAAATGCATGGTGTAAAATACTCAAAATTAATTGGTAAGATAATAATTTATTTTGTTTATTACCCATATATTAAATCTTTAGACTTATCTAAAGTCTTATATTAAATAAAATAATATACCTAATATAGTAAATAGTAAATAATACTATACAGATATTATATTTATATATTATATATATAATTTGTATGTGTGATGAATACAAAGTGTATTAACGAAATTGCTTTAAAATTATGTGCTTATTTGTGTGTGTGTGCGTGTGTATTTGTCATCGACTTTTGGAGCAGTAATATTGAAAAAAAAATGTTTTAGGTGACGGTGACAGTAGTGTCACAAAAAGGTTAAACGAAATACTACCTTACGGTCCGGGTCTAAGAGTTGAAAAAATTGAATGCAGAAATCATATGCTTAGGAATTATTCTCAAAAAATGTCTGCACTCACTAAACGTACAGAATTTCCAATTTTAATTAGAAAAAAAATTGCTGATAACCTCGTTAGGCTTCGGACTGATATAACAAAAGCTATACAATATCGAAAATCTGAGGAAAAACCATTACAACAGAAAATTTTAAGTAGGTGTCTAACTTTATATTATTATTTATTAGTTATATTACATATTATTTTATTTATTTATTTGGGACATTTTAGATCTTAAATATGATATAACAAACGCACCAAACCATCGACTTTTTAATTTTCATAAGAAATGTGCTCCTTATTTTTGTGAAAAATCTGCAGATAATTCAGCTAATAACTGCAAATCTTATGAAAATAATGACGGTATAGTCAAAGAAATTAATACGATTGTTTCTCGTTTGGCTAATAATTCAAAGAGCCTTATATTGGACGTAGATAACAACATTTGCGAACAATTTAATAGTGTAATAAATAAATTTCTTGGTGGTAAAAGAATAAATTACACTCAAAGGAGTTCTTATAATACAAGAATATTAGCAGCTGTTGTTAGTTTTAATTCTAGCGAGTATTTAAGAGCTGTAAAAAAACATATCACTCAAACAAGTCCTGGTGAGTTAATTTTTTTTTTTTGTAGTTAATATTAAATATTAATATTAATATTTATTGTTTTATATGTACAAATGTAAAACAACCTAATAATTAATTTTTATTTTTAGGAAAAACGGCTAAATCATTTTTGAGTCAAATAATAAAAAAACGATCTGCTTGTTAAAAACGAAGAAAACTTTCAACTAAACTTAAATATAAAGTTAAGCGACCAAAAGCTAGTTCTAAACCAGACGAACACTATGGTAATGCAGAAACATTAGACGGTATGTATATATTATATATATAGTATAATGAAGATTATGATAAGCTTACATATTATTGCAATAAATGATTTTAATTACTATAAAACGGTCAGATTATCGTACCCCTAATATATTTTAATATTAATTTATAACTATAATATTTTTATTGTACAATTTTTACGTTATTACAGGTATAAGAGAAGTTGATGATCCATCATTTGTTAATGATATGGAACAGTTTCTAAAGTAGGTATACCATTATATACAATAACCAATGATAAAAATACTGAATATCAACAATATCAGATGATATCTATTATTCGATTTATTCAATAATTTTGTTTCTAAAGGACTTTATATGACGTTAACCGTACTACAGTGGAAGAAGCTACAAGACACCAAGCTGAAAGTGAAAGATGGAAGACAGAAAGGATGATCCGACTCACTGCTAGTAACTTTGGCCATGTATGCAAAATGCGTCGTAATACTAGCTGCAAAAACATAGTATATTCTATGTTATATTTAACATTCAATAGCAAGTAAGTTCAATGCTATGTATACATTTAAAATACCACGCCATATATTTAAAATGTGTATTATTAATAATAAGAATAATTGTATTTCTATTTTATAGGTCTGTCCAGTACGGAAGGGATATGGAAGATGAAGCAATAAAAAAATTTGAAGATAAGTTCGGTTACAAAGTAAAAAAATGCGGTCTTTTAATCGATATGCAAATTCCATATTTAGCTGCTAGTCCAGGTTAAACATGATTTTATACTTAATATTCATACTAATTTCTTTAATATAAGTACCTACAATAAAATAATAAATTATTATTATAATAGCAATTTTTATATTCTAGTTTTTTTTTTTTTTTTAATATTTTAGATGGAATTATTGGTGATACTGCTATCATTGAAGTAAAATGCCCATATGCAGCAAAAGACACAGAAAATGAGTTTGAGGCTGTATCCACTGGCAAAGTTTGTTTTCTACTGAAAAAATACCAATTCTTATTTATTTTTTAAATAGCTTATATTCATTAATATTATGTTTACACAGCTGAAATATTGTTTCATCAAAGAAAAAAAATTGGTACTATGTAAAAATCATATTTACTATTACCAAATTCAGGGCCAGCTGCATATTTCCCAAAAAGAACAATGCTACTTTGTTATAAATACAAATAATCGGATGTCTGTTCAAGTAATAAAATATGATGCTGACTTTTGGAGTACACATATGGTTGAAAAATTAAAATCGTAAGAATTCCTAATATTGTTTTATCTTTTGTATTAAATCTAAAATTTGGTTTGTAATAAAATATAATACATCAATTTTATCCTTATAGGTTTTATCTTAACTGTTTGTTGCCAGAAATCGTCGATCCTGTTTATAAATATAGATTTATGAAATCAGATATAAGAGAATCAAAAACAATATTGCAACAAATGAAAATTTCTAAAAAACTATTTTAAAATAATTACGATTGTTAAATGATATTTATATAATTAAACAAATATATTTTAGTCGTATTTATTTATATAATATATGTACTACAACATAGATCAACATATGTTCAAGTAAATACTAACAGAAATCCTAAATGTTTAATGTATCAATATTTAACTATTTAAGTAACTAAAGAAGCGATTTTCTTGATTTAGATTTTGACTGAATTCTCATAGTTATTTCTATGAGTACCTATAAACAGTATAAACATTAATTTATATAAATAACAATTATTAATTCTATAAATTTACCTATATATTTATTAGGTAAGTAGTGACTTAAATTATAAACGTTAGGTTCATGGGTACGCGCGGATATTTAAAATATTACGTCAGCATTTACGTGTTTACTGTTTAGTTACATAATATAATAATATTAATATATTATTATCGCGTAACGTCTTGGACGAACGTTCGTAGAATAATAAACGGCGCCAGTGTTGCCAGGTTTCTAAAACGGTTTTATCGTACAAGGCCTTTAAAATTATCGTATTTTTCAATAAATTATCGTATCTTCATTATTGTATTAAATGTCTATTGATATTAATTGATATGATACGTCTTTTATCATAAATCATAATCATTTTTTTCTTAATCAATTATTTAGTTATGAATTTACGATAATAATGATAATTTAATAAAATCACTCGTCTGATTGACTAGTCCTAATAGTCTTATCGAAGCGATTGTCACTACTCACTACTCACTGTGGTACTCAAGTAATATACTAATATAAAATGTAACTTTTTATAACTATCAATTTACTTTAATATGAATACCAGGTGCTTAAATTTAAATACATCTTAACAACCTGATCTTTGAACAAACCATACAATTTTTAAACAATTCATAAATTACAATTTGAAATATCTTTATTTTAAAAATTAAATTAAAATTAAAAAAAAACAGGTACAGTACCAACACATTTTTTTTTTAGTTTGTAATAACAAAAAATGACTTATTACATAGAATAAAATAGATTTTGACCATATTCTTCATTATCATTATTACTTATATTATAATCTTTAATTGGGTACAGGTTTGAAGAAGTCATTAAATTAATCATTTCTTTGGGAGGTGTAAATGTAACACAGTGACATTCATTTTGTTTAGAACTGAATTTTGTGTTTTTGATACATTCGCAGGCCATTAATGCAGCTGAAACCGTTTCAGTTATCATTCGATTTCTGGATTTGGTTTTTGTTCTGTTTATTTTACTGAACAGTCTTTCACATTCTGCATTGGAGTGTGGAAGTGAAAGTACAGTCAGTGCAAACTTGGCTAATTCTTTGAAACCTGCATTTTCAGATTCATTTGAAACATACATATTGTTCCAAAATGTTCCAGTGTCCATATCTTCTTTTAAATTTGGTGGAATATTGAGTGGTAAAGTACGCCATTGATCATCAATAGTTTGCATCAAATTAATATTAAATTTATCAATAATGCGAGGTACTTTATTTATAAGCACTAAAAGTGATGGCCAAGTTTGTCGTTGAATAGAAGATAGAGCAATCTTTGGACTTAAACAACTTAATAATGACAAAATGGGATCATCAAAATTGTAACGTTTTTTAATTTGTAAACAACTTGTTCTTAAAAAATTTTGACATTTAACATAAAAATATCGAAGCAAGTCTTGCCTTTGGGTAATTAACTCACACGACAAAAAGTTTGTTAATTTTATACCCAAATATGTTTCATTTGGTTTTAAATATTTTGTCTGATCATTGGGGTCAATATCTGGAAGCGGTGTTTTCATGATATAATCTCTCTTCATAAAAGTTAATAAAATGTCTTTGTAGGTCAAAACCATTTTTTCGTGGAGAACATCAAGCACAATTTTATCAGATTGGAAATATTTATTTAAAAGAACAAATTTTGGTAACACCCATTCCAAGAATAAATAAAAGGCTTTCGTGAAAGGGTCATTTAGTTGGTCATATATAGTCTTACTTGAAAGAAGTTTTTCGGAGAGCCACTGGTCATTAAAATATAACTTCAACGCATCCCATTGTTCAATGATTCTATTAACTACCGAAGACATTGATAACCACCTAGTAGCTGACGGATGCAGTATTTTGTGTTCTTTTAAGTTAAGGAAAACTTGAAATTGATGAAATTGTGACTGGCGTTTAGAACTTTGACTAAAATACGAATGAATTTGTCTTGCTAAATCTTCACAGCGTTTTGGCAATTCTTTGCAAGCTTCGCTACTAACTAAATGTAAGCTATGGCAAATACATTTCATTAAAAAAATACCAGGAAAAACATTTTGCATTCTGGAAGCTACTGAGTTACGAACTCCAAACATTGAATTGCAGCCATCTGACCCAAATCCAATAATATTGGTAAAAGGAATTTTATATTCTTCAAATGTTTGTATACAAGAACTAAACAAGTTATTAGCAGTGGCACCTTCATTCACCTTGTCTATATTTTTCTTATCATAAACTTGAATCAAGGACCAAAATTTACTTACAATTCTTTGCTCTTCAGCATCGTGGAACCTGACAATAATACACATTGTTGATTCACACCCAATATCTGTTGATTCATCAATCATAACAGAAAATTTGCTTAATTTAAGTTTAGTTGCTAAAATTTGTTTAGCAAATGGTGAAATTACGTTTTTTATGACGTTTGTAGCTTTTGTTCTTTTGAGCTGGATTTTTTGACAAATTTCTGAATCATCAAAAATATCTTTCAAAACTCCTACAATATGATCTATGCAATTAAAAGCAATATTATGTTCTACAAGAAGGGCACATAATTTAATTTCGGCAATTTTAATTTTATCCTCCAAAGGGTCTTTTTTATTACCGTCTTTTATGAAATTTAACATTGCAGTTGATGATTTTTTAGGAGTATTAGAAACATTGATCTTATGTTTCTTACCAAGGGCATGATTTTTAATAACTACCAATTCAGAGACGAATGTTGTGTTACATTTAATACATTTTGCTTTCATATTATCACCTTTAACTTTTCTCAACCAGTCCTTATATGATGGCTTTAACTCCCATTCAGGGCGGTATTTTTGTTCTCGATGCTTAGGCCGTTCTCCTTTACTCAGTTCTCCTCTTATTTTCCTTTTTTTCGTTGGTGTAGTTCGTTCAGATAAATTTTCCTCATATTCAAAACTATCATTCAAAGCATCATTCTATTTATTGACAAAAATATTGAAATTATTTTTTTAATAATACATTTTAATATTTTAATTTTAATTTACTAATATAAACTTACCTGTGACATTTTCACAGTAAAGTGTCAGGGAACTTAATAAAAATAAAAATAATTAAAAGTCAAACAATTTAATATACTTAATAATTTAATAAAATATTCCTTGAAATATAAAACATTTATTAAAAGTCAAATAATTTAATAAACTTAATAATTTTATAAAATTTGCATTAAAATATAAAACACTTATTAAAAATCAAGCAATTTAATAAATTTAATAATTTAATAAAGTGTTCCTTTAAATATAAAACACTGATATAGTGTAAATATAATTTAATCATTGGCAATTCCAAATGAAATAACTATATATATAATGCCATAACAAATAACTTTATATTCATTTGTAATTCAACTAATACAAAAAACAAAGTAACTGCTCTTTTATTGTACAGTAATATTTTGGCATATGATTATTTTATAATAAATAATAATAATATTATTATTGTAAAATATTTAAATTTATGCGGGAAATGTTGTTCATTATCATGCTAATTATCGTATTTTCTTGTACGATAGTTGATTTAGTATCGTACATCGTACAATGGCAATAATAATCGTACAAATACGATAATTATCGTACACCTGGCAACACTGAACGGCGCTCCCGAATGAGCACAGTCATCGGCCGGCGCTGACTACGAGTAGTGGGCGTGGTTTAAACGCCGCGCGCTTGCGGATCGCGAAAACACTTAATAGCGCATTCTCTTGGCCGTTGTACGCGTACACGTTTTGGTGCGACGTCCTCTTAATCGAATACAAATAAAATTAACAAGTTGACTGCCTCGAGTTTTTTTGTGAACTTTCCTCTATTGCCATGAGCATCATATTAGGGCCACGCGTTGACTTTCCTCCATTGCCATGAGAGACACATATTGATGCTCAACATTTTTAAATGTTGAAATTGAGCATACATATTATACCTCAGTTTTGTTAATTTTTTTGAATAGAGAATAAAATTCTAAATATATAACTACTTGGAGCATTGGAACTTATGACCGGTATTATTTCATACATTTAAATTAAAATAAATCAAATTTCCTTTATTGTATAATTTTTCAACACTTTATTAATATGTTAACACTGTTTTTAATGTATAATGACACAACATATGACATTAAATTATATAATATTAATATACTTTTATAACTTGTGTTAGTTTTACATACTTAATACAATTTCTTAAACAATTTTTTGAACAAACTATAACATTATAAATATATAAACAATATAAATGTATAAACAATATAAATATAATAACTTAAGTTTTGGTTATT